CAAAATCTAAAAAAAAAAAGAAAAGGAAAGGAAAAAAGACCAGGACCAGCCTGTGGTTGTCCTGGCTGGATTTCACATGGCTGATATATGATGAGAGTCTCAGACCTGGTGACCTGAAAAACATTCTGGATGTGTGTGCATGCATATCCAAAATCGCACAGAAGGGAGAAATGGAGCAAAAGGGATTGTGGCATGGCCATCCTCCATGGAGGGTGATTTCTCACTTCCTCCCTCCTTCTCTCTCTTTCTTTGGTGAATGCACACACTTTTTGGCAAGACATTTAAAAAATAGTTTGTGGCAATCATTGCACAACGCTTATATTTACTATAAATCATTTCACATGCATGCATTCTGTAGTATGCAAATTACACCTCAATGAAGTTTTTTTTTTTAGACAAAGTCAAACTTCATTTCTGAAATCATAAAGCACTCTTACGTATTTTTTTCTTTTGTTTCTTCTTTTCTTCAATTAAAGAGGCACTAATTCTTATCAGTATCTTGACATTGTTCTCAATAGCTTTGAATGTGTCTGGTAACATCTCCATTTGTGCTATCCAATGGTGACGTTCGTCAGCATCAATTATAGTCATCTCTGACAAAGTGGCATCTTGAAAAGAGTAAGAAAAGTATTTTTGTGCAGAAAATAATTATAACCTTATAGGTTTATGACATTGGGTAACTCTCAATATGGTTATTATTGGGGAATATAGGTATTGTGGTTTTTGGCCATAGAGTATGTGCACTTGCCAGACAGAGACAGAGAAAAAGGGAAGGAAATAACCCTACAGTGGGATGGTTGTGCCGAAAATCCCTCTTCCTTCATTCTCCTCTTGGGGTTTCGGGCATGCCCACGCATGTGCCTAACTAGTTTTTCCAGCTGCTGGTTCTAGGACTCAAACTGTAGAATAGGACATATGAGGAAACCAGCAGGTGATATGGTGGTTAAGGTGCTGAACATTCCCATATGTCTGACCATGGTTCGAGTCCCAGATCTGGCAGCTTGTTTTTTCACTCTCTGTGTCTCTCTCTGGTCAAATTAAAATAAATGAATCAATAAATAAAATGAAAAAAAAAAAAAGCAATAGGGCATGTGGAATCCAGTGCCCAACCACCACACCACCTGGTCACCCATGAGTCTGTTTTTTAATATTGGAGATCTAAGGGACTAGCAGGTAGCATGGTGGTTAAGGCACTGGATACTCCCACATGGCTGACCGTGGTTCAAGTCCTGGACCTGGTGGCTTGCTTTCTCACTTTCTCCATCTCTCTCTCTCTCTCTCTGTGTCTCTCTGGTCAAATTAAAATAAATGGATAACCAGCAGTTAGCGTAATGGCTATGTCGCTGGACTCCCACATAGTCAACCATGGTTCACGTCCCAGACCCGGTGGCTTAAAACTCACGCAGGGCGCATGTGCATGTGTGCCCAAGATTCCAAGAGGAGAATGGAGAAGGGATTGCGGCGTGACCATCCCCTCTAGGGGGTGATTTCTCACTTTCTGTCTCTATGTCTCTCTCTGTCTGTCTGGCGAGCGCACACGCCCTATAGTAAAAAAAAAAAAGAAAAAAATTAAAATAAATGAGTGAATAAATAAAATTAAACAAATAATTTCTTTTTAAAAAATACTGGAGAGCTAAACCTCACTTAACTCCTTTGGTAGGTTATCCATTTTTTTAAAAGAATTATTTTATTTGTTACTATTTAATTTGCAGTAGGGCACGTGTGTTCACCAGAGATAGAGAGAGAGAAAGGGAGAAAGCAAGCTGCCAGGTCCGAGACTCAGACTGTGGTCAGCCATGTAGGAATCCAGCACCTTAACCACCACACTACCTGCTGGCCCTGCTCGATATTTTATTTTATTCCCTATTATGTGAGGTTTTTACACAAAATAAAGTTTCTTTTTTAAAAAAAGAATAATTTTATTTAACTTTATGTATTTATTTTAATTTGACTAGAGAGGGAGAGAGAAAGAGAAAAGTGAGAGAGCAAGTAGCCAGGTCCAGGAATCAAACCGTGGTCAACCATGTGGGAGTCCAGCATCCTTAGCCACCATGCCACCTGCTATCCCCCCTTTTTTAAAATAATTATTTTATTTTTTATTTATTTAAAATGTTTTAGCATTACTTTATCCATTTGTTCATTTAACTTATGTCTTTTTTTTCTAATTTATTCATTCATTTATTTTAATTTGTTTTTTGGGGGGAAGGTTTTTGCTATAGGGTGCATGTGTGTGCTCACCAGAAAGACAGAGAGAGACAGAGAGACAGAAAGCAAGAAATCACCTCCCCAGGGGGGATGGCCACACCGGAATCCCTTCTCCTCTCAGGATCTTGGGCACGCACGCACACGCGCCTGGCGTGAGTTTAAGCCACCAGGTCCAGGACTCGAACATGGGAGTTCAACGACAAAGCCATTACTCCCTCCTGCTGGCCCCATTCATTTATTTTAATTTGACCAGAGACAGACACATAGAGAAAGAGAGAGAAAGTGAGAAAGCAAAACACCAGGTCCAGGATTCAAACCATAGCCAGCCATGTGGGAGTATCTAGGGCCTTAACCACCACGTCTCCTGCTGGCCTCCCAATGTCTGCTTTGTTGTATACTATTCTGAGTGCTGTGGATATAGCATTGAATAAAACCAATCCTCTGACTTTATATTGCTGGCATTCAAAAGGAGACAGGCCAAAAAAAAGTTAATTTTGTAGTATATCAGATATAGTGCTATAGACAAAATAAAGAAGGGAAGAGGGTGACAGTGTGTGCTAGGAGTTAGGGAGTGGGGACAGTCAGAGAGTCCTTATTTTATTTTATTTTTTAAAGGATTATTTTATTTCACTTTACTTATTTATTTACTTATTTTAATTTGACCAGAGAGGGACAGAGCAAGAGAGAGAGAGAGAGAAGGAAAGTGAGAAAGAAAGCTGCCAGGTCCAGGATTCAAACCATGGTCAGTCATGTGGGAGTCCAGCACCCTTAACCACCACACCACCTGCTGGCCCTGAGAATCCTTATTTTAACATGAGATTTAAGCAGAGAGTAAGACATGTAGCTATCTGTGGAAAATGTCCCAGGCAAAGGAGTAGTAACCATAAAGACATCAGACAGGAGTAGGCTGGTAAGAGTGAAGAAAAGCAGAGGGCACATAGATGATAATGAATGAGTAAATCTTTATTTATTATTGGGACCAGCAGTTGGCATAATGGCTATGTTGGTGGACTTCCATGTAGTCGACTGCGGTTTGAGTCCCGGAAATGGTGGCTTGAAACTCACACCGGGCACATGTGCGTGCTGCCCAATATCCCAAGAGGAGAATGGTGAAGTGATGGCAGCGTGGCCATCCCCCAGAGAGTGATTTCTTGCTTTCTGTCTCTCTCTTTCTTTTGTGTGAACACACGTGCTCTGTAGCAAAATCTCTCATGTATAATATATATATATATATGTATATACATATATATATGTTACACAGAGAGACATACATAAACACGTACAGGTTCACTTTTCTTTTTTATTAACTTGTTGTTTTCCCATGAACCACTTCCAGAAACTTACTCCATTCTTCCAACCAGGCCAGTATGCGGGCAAGAGTCTTTTCTCTACTTTCAATAGCTTTGGCATGAGAAGACAATTTCTCAGAAAAACTGGCTCTATGTATTTTATTATATTCTTTTACAGAGATATTTCTTCCAGAGGGTGGGTTAAGGTCAATAGTATAGCGGTTGATTATCCGTTGCACATTGTTCATTATGTAGTTGAGCTGCATATCAATATCCTATAAGAACAAGAGGAGAAATATATTAATATACTCTCAGTTTGAAAATAAACTTGAGAGGACCAGCAGTTGGTGTAGTGGCTATGTCACTGGACTCTCATGTAGTCGGTCACGGTTCAAGTCCCGGACCTGGTGGCTTAAACTCATGACGAGCATATGTGCATGCATGTCCAAGATCCTGAGAGAATGGAGGAGAAGGGATTGTGGCATGGCCATTCCCCCAAGGTAGTGATTCTTTTTTTTTTGGAGAGGTTTTTGCTATAGGGCGCGTGTGCTCGCCAGACAGACAGAAAGAGACAGAGAGAAAGAAAGCAAGAAATCACCCCCCAGGGGGGATGTCTACGCCGCAATCCCTTCTCCTCCATTGTCCTCTCAGGATCTTGGGCACGCACGCACATGCGCCCGGCGTGAGGGGCGCGTGTGCGTGTGCGCTCAAGATCCCGAGAGGAGAATGGACGAGAAGGGATTGTGGCATGACCATCGCCCCTGGGGGGGGGTGATTCCTCCCTTTCTGTCTCTCTGTTCCTCTCTGTCTCTCTGGCAAGCGCACACAACCTATAGCTAAAACCTCTCCCCCCCCCAAAAAAAAAAGAAAGAAATAATAAACTTGGGGTCATCAGGTGGCATGGTGGGTAAGGTGCTAGATTTCCAGAAGGCTAACTGCAGTTGAGTCTCAGACCTGGAGGCATGCTTCTCAATTTTTCTCTCTCTGGTCAAATTTAAAAATACTAATAGGAAACAAAATAAAATAAATAAATAATTCTAAAAAGAAAATAAACTTTGATCACCTTTCTTTCCCTTTACCTTCTTTTGGGGGGGGGGGAGGAGAGGTTTTTGATATAGGGCGTGTGCGCTCACCAGACCGACAGAGAGAGACAGAGAGACAGAAAGTGAGAAATCACCCCCCCCAGGGGGGATGCCCAAGCTGTAATCCCTTCTCCATTCTCCTTTCAGGGTCTTGGATATGCACACACACGTCCAGCATGAATTTAAGCCACTGGGTTTGGGACTTGAACCGCAGTCAACTACATGGGAGTCCAGCAACATAGCAATTAGGTAACTGCTGGTCCCTCCCTTCACCTTCTTTGATCATATTTGTGGAAGCATTTTTGGTCACCACAGTGACTGAGAAGGTGAAGTATAGCTATTTAGGAAAGGATGCTACAGCACAATGGACAGTCCACACAATGAAGAAATATCCCACATCTTGTGCAACCTTCGAATGTCCCATGGAACATTCAATTTGGTAAAAAAAAATCTAAGTACCCAAGCCAAGAACCAAATTCCATTTTTGTTCAGACAGGGTCTCACTATGTTGTAAGCTTCCTGTCTCAACCTCTTCAGTAGCTGGGACTTAAGGCATGACACCATGTCCAGCTTTTAGAGTGATCTCCCACGTGGCTGACTGTGGTTCGAGTCCTGGGCCTAGCGGCTTGCTTTCTTACTTTCCCTCTCCCTCACTCTGTCCCTCTCTGGTCAAATTAAAATAAATAATTAAATAAATTTAAAAAGAAGAAAACACAAATAATGGTGGCATAGTGGTTAAGGTGCTGGACTCCCACTTGGCCAACAATGGTTTGAGTCCCAGACCTGGTGGCTTGAAACTCACATTGGGCGCATTTGTGTTTGAGCCTAAAATCCCAATAGAGAAGGGATTGCGGCATGGTCATTTCCCTGGGGGATGATGTTTCACTTTCTCTCCCTCTTTCTCTGTCTTTCCTATAGCAAAAATCTCTCCAAAAATAAAATAAAGGGCTTGGATCCAGAATATATAAAGAATACCTATAAATTTGGGACCAGCAGTTGGTGTAATGGCTGTCACTGGACTCCCATGTAGTCGACTACGGTTCGAGCCCCAGACCCAGTGGCTTAAACTCACGCTGGGTGTGTATGTGTATGCATGCTCAAGAGGAGAATGGAGGAGAAGGGACTACGGCATGGGCATCCCCCCCTGGGGGATGATTTCCCATTTTCTGTCTCTCTGTCTCGCTCTGTCTTTCTGGTGAGTGCACGTACCCTATAGCAAAAACCTCTCAAAAAAAGAAAAAAAAACTATAAATCAATAGTAACCCAACAGAAAACCAGGCAATAGATTTAAATGGTACTTCAGTAAAGAGGATACCTAAGTGACCAATAATTATATGAAAATGTATTCATTTTTATTAGCAATTACTGAATTACAAGTCAAAATAATAAAATACCCTTATACCGGGTCAGCAGATGGCATGGTGGTTAGAGTGCTGGACTCCCACATGGCTGACTGTGGTTCAAGTCTCGAACTTATGGCTTACTTTCTCACTTTCTCTCTCTCTCCTTTCTCTCATGAACACATGTGCCCTGTAAGCACATTTATATATATATATATATATATATATTTATATTTATATATATATTTATATATATATTGCATATATATATGCTATATAGAGAGAATATGCATATATATTATATTGCATATATAATATGCAATCTGATATACAATATTATACATTATATATTATGCAATATAGTATATTATATACATTATATTGCATATTACATAATTGCATATATAATATGCAATGTATATTGTGCGCATATTATATATAATTGAATAAATGATTATTTTTCAAAAATTTGTTTTATTTGACTGTATTTTATTTATTCATTTTAATTTGATCAGAGAGTGACAGAGTGAGAGAGAGAAAGGAAAAGTGAGAAAGCAATCTGCCAGGTCTGGGTCTCTAACCAAGGTTGACAATGTGAGAATCCAGTGCACTTAACCACCATGCCACCTGCCGGCCCCTAATAAATAAATATATCCTTATAGGGACTAGCAAATGGCATAACGGTGGTTACACTGTTGGACTCCCATGAAGTTGACCATGGTTTGAGTCACCAATCTGGCCACTTGAAACTCATACTGGGCATATGTGTGTACGTGCCCAAAATCTGGAGAGGAGAATGAGGAAAAGAGATTGTGGCATGGCCATCCCCCCTGGGGAGTGATTTCTCACTTTCTGTCTCTGTGTCTCTTTCTGTCTCTCTTGTGAGCACATGCACTCTATACCAAAACTCTCTCTCTCTAAAAAAAATAAAATAAACTCATGCCACATGCATGTGCATGTGTGCCCAGAATCCTGAGAGGAAAATGGAGGAGAAGAGACTGTGGTATGACCATCCTTCCCCCCCGGGGGGTTATTTCTCACTTTCTGTCTTTGTCTTTCTGTCTTTCCAGCGAGCACACTCGCCCTATAGCAAAAATTTCTCTGATTAAAAAAAAAGAAACAAACAAAAATATCCTTATATATTCATTAGAATGACTAAAAATAAAAGGCTAAAATGTCAATAATACAGAACACTGTTTTTTTTTCTTTTTAAAAAAATATTTATTGTATTTTATTTATTCATCATTTATTTTAATTTGACCAAAGAGAGAGAGAGAGAGGGAAAGTGAGAAAGCAAGCCACCAGGTCCAGTATTTGAACCATGGTTGGCCTTGTGGGAATGTCCAGTGCCTTAACCACCATGCCACCTGCTGGTCCCAGAACAGTGGTTTTTTTTTTTTTTTTTTTTTTTTTGAGAGATTTTTTGCTATAGGGTGCGTGCGCTCGCCAGACAGAGAGAGACAGAGAGACAGAAAGCGAGAAATCACTCCCCAGGGGGGATGGCCATGCCGCAATCCCTTCTCCTCCATTCTCCTCTCGGGATCTTGGGCACGCACACACACAGGCCCCGTGTGAGTTTTAAGCCACCGGGTCCTGGACGCGAACTGCGGTCGACTACGTGGGAGTCCAGTGACATAGCCATTACACTAACTGCTGGTTCCGAGTGGTATTCTTATAGACTATTGATGGGAGTCTAATTGGTACAATTATTTTTTTCCCTTTAGATTTTTGTCATTGGGCACATGCACTCATCAGAGAGAAAGACAGACAGATATAGAGAGAGGGAAAGTGAGGAATTACCTCCCCACCTGCACAGGGTATGGCCATGTCACAATCCCTTCTTTTCCATTCTCCTCTCAGGATATTGGACATGCTGGCACACCCATCTGTCATGAGTTTCAAGCCACTGGGTCCGTGACTCAAACTGCACTTAGCATGTGGGAGCTCAGTGCCTTAACCACTATGCCACCTTCTTGTCCACTACAATTACTTTTTATTTTATTCATTTATTTATTTATTTAGGAGAGGTTTTTGCTATAGGGCATGTGTGCTCACCAGAAAGACAGAGAGAGACAGAGAGACAGAAAACTAGAAATCACCCCCCAGGGGGGATGGCCATGCCTCAGCCCCTTCTCCTCCATTCTCCTCTCAGGATCTTGGGCACGCACACACACGTGCCCAGTGTGAGTTTTAGCCACAGGGCCGGGGACTCGAACCACAGTCGAATACATGGGAGTCCAGTGACATAGCCATTACGCCAACTGCTGGTCCCTTTATTTATTTACTTTTTACAGGTTTTTTGTTTGTTTTTGTTTTTGTTGTAGAGTTTTTGTCACAGAAAATGTCACAGGGAAAATGAGAAATCACCACCTCTTGTGGGGATGGTCACACTGCAGTCTCCTTTCCTCTATTCTCCTCTTGGGATTTTGGGCACACACACACATGTGCTCTGTGTGTTTTTCAGGCCACTGAGTCCAGGACTTAAATCACGGAGGCAGCCATGTGGGATCCAGTGTCTTAACCACCACACCACCTGCTGGCCCCTATTTTATTTATTTTGTCATTGCCAGAGGTCTTGTGCATTTGCCAGAGAGAAAAGAGGGGCACAGCCCCCAACAGAGCATGGTCACACCTCAATTCCTTTTCCATTTCTCTATCCTGTCAAGATTTGGGGGCATACATGCACATGTACCTCGCATGTTTTTCAAGCTGGGGGGACTGGGATTTGACTCCCTTAACCACTAGGCTATGAGGCAGCCTCAAGAATTCTAAAACTATAATAATCAAGACAGCATGGTGTTGGTGTAATGAAGAACATATATACCAATAAAACAGAATAAGATCTAGAAAAAG